AAACATCCACCCACCCCATCTCACATTTCTGCGCCAGGTCTTTTACCGACCAGGCACAACAGCTCGTCCCAAATAAAAATTATAAAAGGGAGAGTAAATTGTAATTATATGTTTACCCCATATCTGTACAAATTTATCCTCTTTTAATTGATGGTTTACATAGTCCCTATTTGATCCCATTATTTTTAAAATATATTTTTTTCTTTTATTTTTAACTACACATTTTTCAATAAAATAATATTATACGCAAACTCGAATTTTTTAACCACATACTCTTCATTAAAATATTATTCCAAAATGCATTTTAGACAAAAAAAAAATGGAGATCAAACAGGCTCTAAGTGATATCTAATTTATTGAGGTTTGCGGTCAATTAAATTTTAAAAAAATTGGCACGAATAATCCTTAGCAAATGGTCCATGTGCGCAAATGGTCCCTAACGTTTCATTCTTGGCATTGACCCCTCATCGTATTGATTATGCGCAAAAAGACTTTTCGAATGGTTTCCATCAAGGATTTGTCTACTTGTACATTATGGATACCATAATGTACAAGTAACACATCCCATCCATCAATTCTTGCAGGTATAATTATATATTAAATTTGGTAAATGTCTTAATTCCCATATTTCTCTGAAGAGGGGTCAATGTTATGTTCCCATAACATACCATGTTATGTTCTCTGAATGGTATTATTTTCTCCTTGTATATACTTTTGCAGCGTACTTTTATTGAAATTGGGGAATCAAAAGGAATTTTTGACAACTTGAGACATAACATTAAAAGCATCCAAAATTACAACGTAAAACATTAAATTTTAATCTCGCTTAGCCTAATCGAATATACCGAATAAAAATTATAAAAAAAAATTAATGTTTTATAAAAACGTAATTCAGATCGTAAAAGAGCAATTCAGATCGTATAACTGAAGCCTCGATCATTGGTATGAGTTCGAAGCACCTTTGAGATGATAAGAGTTAATTTCTAAAAGGTGAGAGATAATGCCAAAAACTTTTAAAATAGAAATACTCTACTGAAGTACACAATTTTCTCTTCTTTTTGCATGCCAAAGGAGTATAAATGGATCATTTTTTTACAATATTGGTCTTAAGATACATATCGATGTCTCGTTTTACAAAAATCACTATTTGAAAACACGTAATTGTTAAATAGGGGCAAAAATTAGTGAAATGTGTGGTTGAAAAATTAAAATAGGTATAGCCGCTGCTTTGAAAGAATTAAAATCTAAATTTTTCTGAATCAAAATTAACAACTAATCATGTGACATTATGTAATTCATTATATAAATATTAATGTACATGTAGCAAAATCCTAATTTTAATTACATATTTTGTATGACTGAAACTTTTCAACGACACATTTTATCAAAATATATTAAAAAATTGATTTTAATCTTCACAAAACAAGGACATATTTTTAAAATGTGTTTGATTGGCTTTATTTTCCATAAAAATATTATTTTTACCCAAATTTCTACTTTTGGCTTTGGGATATTTGATTGACAATTTTTTCATGGAAATTATTTTTCAACCTTGACCATATTTTTCTCAAAAATAAGGAAAACAATTTCTTTAGGGAGTGATCGTTTTTATTTTTCAGGTAATTCACAATCTCTCTAATCTATCCACCAATAAAAAAAATGGACAATTATAATATTTTTTAAGTTGAAAACTAAATCAATCAAACACATTTAATTAATAATTTCCATACAAATAAGTTTTAGATAATTGAATTGTTTATAATTTATTTTCTTTCCATACAAATTTCATGTTCGCAATCAAACGCACTCTTAAAGGCAATAATGAATGTAAATCATCCAAAAGAACTTTTTCCACACAGAAAAGTAGGATGAGAAAATAAGGTTGGAGACCACTTGCTCACAAGGGTCATATGTTAAGTACATTTTATGTCAATTTCCCTTATAATTTATAAATCTATCTTTAGATTTCTTCTCAATTACAAAATTAAGGTATAAAAATACAGACATAATGTTTTCAATCAGTTTGATAAACGTTACTTTTAAAACTTTTTTTCTAATAAAAGATTTTATAAATAAATTCAAAACTTTTCTTACTTTTTAGCCATATAATCTCTTAAAAATATTATTAAAAATTATATTTCTTCCCAAATAATAATCATCAAACGGGCGTAAAGCAAGAAAATAAATTATTTTATACACGTGGAAAAAAAATTAGTACTTAGCATTCCTCAACACGTATTGAAAATAAAAGGTGCACTATTTTATTGGGGTCTTAGACATGAATAAATCTCACGTCAATGTGCAGAACCATCTTCGTCATTATTGGTTCCATAAGTATTCAACCATATATTTCATCAATTTCGATCAAAATCTATTAAAAATTTAGGACGTGTAAGGTAAAAATTAAAATCAGATTAAAAATTGAAAAATTAGTCGTTATTGTTGACTTTTATTAGATGAATGAAACTCAATGACAGCTATATTTTCAATTTTAATTGGATTTTAATTACTCCTAAACATGTTCTTAGCCCTTGTTTGGCCCGAATTAAAATCTGATTTTAATCCAAATCAAAGTCAAACATTCAATATTAACCACATATTTCATGAGTCCAACAACTTTTCAATCACATATTTCAAAAATTTTTATCACAATCTACTAAAAATTTAATTTTAATTCCCACCAAACACCCTCTTAATTTTAATGATAATGAACACAAATCAGGACGTAGCTCAATCATCTTTGAAGCTACCAGGCAATTGTGGGAGAATCATCTTTGAAGCTACCAGGCGCTTGTGGGGAGAATTGACTTTGACAAATCAAACCGCGTGTTTCCTTGCTTTAGCAGAGAAGACTGGAAAAATTTTGAGCTTTTTGTTCCTCCTTAACGCCATCCATTTCTATACCAAACATGTCATCAGCATCCCCTCCCTCCTGTTTACACCAAATGGTATATCTCGCCTTCTTCTTCCTTTACCCTCTTCTTTGCACCTTAGCAGTTCATTCGGCAGATAATTACCTCACAGGGGATATAGCTATTAACTGTGGCTCAACCGGCATTTCAAATGCCTTCAATAACAAAGAATGGACTGGAGATATAACAGAATCAAAATCTACTTCCACA